TTGACGAGACCACAGTCAAAGTTGATGTTCCTGATAAAGAAGATCAATGATCCAACTTTGAGGTTGAGTTTGTGCGGTGGCGTGCCGGGGACGTTGATGCTATTGAGGTATTCGACGGAAACAACATCTGGCATGTTTTCGTCGTCTGTAATGATCTTGTCCGAACTAAGTTGTTCGTGCACACGTCCGGGCATTTTACGAAGGATGAAGTCATTGATCTGGTCAATGTTTTCATTAGTAGGTGCCAGAATGCCACGGTCGTTAAAGATATTGTGGTTGGCTTCTGAAAGATCGGGGTAGACTTTGTGGATGAGGTCTTCAAATTCCGTTGTTCCCGCAATAGAACATGTCGTTTCGGAACCATCTTCGTTTGTGACTGTGTGTTGCAATGGCGGCGGTACCGTCGTATAAGAGAACTGGTTCAATTTTACCTTCACCAACAGCTAAGACAGTTTTTGCGTAAGGGATATCATCTTTGTCTCTCATGCACTTGGTAAGGCGGAAGCGATGCACTTGTGACCATAAGTACGAAGACAGGAAGGCATGTGCTACAATTTCACTCTCAGTTCCGAAATTTAGAACGGGAGCAACTTGACGCCAATCTCCGCTGAAAAGAATAGTTTTCCCTCCGAAGGGCAAGTCATTTTGACATAGATCTTGAAGAGTGGAGTGGAGGGCTTCTGGGGCAAACTTTAACGACATAACAATTTCATCCCAAATAATTAATAAGGCTTTCTTGAGAACGTCGGCCCGCTCGGACTCAGCTGGAACGTTGCGAACGCTACCTTCTATGGCATCGCCTCCGAAAGGTAGTTTAAAGGTACTGTGGGCTGTGAGACCGCCGGGGAGGATAAGGGCAGCTATGCCTGTCGATGCTGCGCACAGGACTAATTTAGCACGAGCTCGCAAGTGGGCTGCGATGGCGCACTCTGTGAATGTTTTTCCTGTCCCGGCCGGCGCATCTATCATGTATACACCGCCTTTATTTTCCATGGCGCTTGTCGTTACTGTGTCGAAGATGCTCCGTTGTTCTTGAGTTAGTTGTGGCGTCATTTGAGAACAAAGTTCTTCTTGCTCTGACGTTGAAAATGCACCGATGAGACGATCGTATTCGGTGTTGTCGTGTTTCACATTTGGAAGGCCGAACTGATTTGTGGACCGGCCGTGTTTGTTGAGCATGAGGTCAATGTGTTTAAGAGATGCGTCGATGGATGCTGCTGCTGTCATGGTTGGTGCGAAATCAAGTGTCAAATCTGTTTGGAATTGCTCCCACAGTTGCGGTGCTGAAGCACCATGAAGTATGAGAGTTGTGAAAACTCGGCGAAGTTCACGTGCAGTTGAAAATTGTGCGGCCTCTTGCATGCAGATGGCGTACTCGTTCGTGTCGTGCACGAGAGCTAGCTCTCTCGCGCATTGCTCGTAAGTTTCGTGTTCAATACCATCGATGCATCTCAATTGACGGAAGCTTGAAGCCGGTCGATTTAAAAGTAACAACCGCAAGAACCAAATGTCTCCTTGATCAGGACTCATGTACTGCTGTATCCTAATAACGTTGAATGTTGACTTGAGGTAAACGAAGTTCCTGTATCGGTCCCGAAAGTGTGGAACTGTCGATGGTACGTATCCCTCTCGGACAAAAGTCACGGTCAATGATCAGAGGAAGCCTCGTGGAAGACGGCTTTAGGTCCCTCGTAACGTTGCACGCTTCC